AAATGATAAAAAACCTAAAAATATGTATATCATTTCAGTATCAGTACCTAAGATGTATACATTTGTTAAGGAAACAGTTTGGTGCAGAAAATGTAAACAGCGTAGGTGAAAGAAAAATGCCGTGTGATAGTCTGAATGTTTCGTTGACTGATTTTTGTTTCGACAATTTTTACTGCTAGTGTTAAAATTAGTTGTTTCTTGACTGTCATCTTTGCACATCTAAAAGTATCTTGCGATTCAATATTACTCTTGTGGGCAAAAATGTAGTAAATTAGTATTCCTGTTATTCGCGGTTAAGGTTTTATTACATTTAACGAAGTTTTATGGCGTACATTAAGGGAAGAACAGCTGCATCCGTTTCGTATATAAAGAGTACATGCTCTGCTATAAGAAATTGTTTTTTAAGCAAAGATTTTTGCAATGGCTACTGCCAAATTATCAACAACGTCAGTACTTCTCAGTTACGAATTTTATTCTCAGACGAAGCTATTTTTACCGGCAACGGAATTTATAATTTCCACAATACGCATCAGTGATATAATGAAAATCACCATACCGTGCGATGTTTTCAACATCGCTTTTCTTTTAATATTTGGTGTAATACTCTAACCAATTTTCTAATAGAACCTTTTATGTTGTCAAATCGCCTAACTGGACATTATTTAAATTTTTTGGAAAGTGATTTAACAATTCCTCTTAAAGAAGTTCTTCTTGATTTATGTCAGGAAACATACTATTTACATGATGGGTCTTGTCGTGCTATACAAGAGTATTTTATATTTTGGATTGAATGTAGGACATTTTTGTAAATATGCGCCATTATTTAATGTGATGAGCTAGCTTATGTGGTGTTGAAGACGGTGACAATATAGAACATCTTGACTAAATTCTGTCTGACGTCGAACTGTGAGCATACCTGCCTACTGCATACCTACCCTAGTATTAAGGTGTCCTATCTTTGTCACTCCTCTTGCAGACTCTCTTCTTGAACTGTGCATCTCGCCGGAAAGATGAATTTGGTCAAGTTGTAATTCTCTGTTGACACGAGTAGTTGTCAATATGTTCACACTTTGTTTATTAAATAAGAAAAATATTTAACTATTATTTTTTACAAGTAAAATATGTAACTGAGTGCTACATTTAGTGGCCATTGCTCCTTAGTGCCTAATACCTACTGTCGTGGAAACAAATAGGTCGGGTTTTCATCTAGCACCAAGACTTCACGTTGTGCGCCATGTCGCGGTATCAGATAAGTTATAGTTGATCGTGGCCCCACGTTGAGCGGCAGAGCGCGAATTTTGATGGGTTCCGCTAGTTCTTGGTGGGGAGGACCTATTTGCCGGGTCGTAGACCCCCCTTAATGGGATTGGAGGGATCGTAATGGTCCTGGGTCCTTTTTCACCCTCGCTGTTAGGTCGTTAGACGCTTGCTCGCAGGTGGACAGTCCACGATCTAAATTTGTACGGTTGATGTGACTTAAAAAACCTTTGACACTTGCTTTTTTGCCAATTTGGGCACTTTGGAAATGTTTATGGTTCCTTCAGGTTTTTTTGTTTAACCTGTATAGCATAAAATTCATGCACTGTTGTATGGACAGCTTGGGTTTGTGCATTTTTTGTAGAAAAATATTAACTCAGGTTGAGGTTTATACAGTATGTCCGCGGTTAGGATGAATAAGAGGAAAAACTGTTTTATTTTACATTTTACGGAAAAAAGGCACACTTGAAAAAAGTTTTGCTTGAATTTAAAATGAGGTTGTGTTATAGACCTAGTTTTATAACTATAATCCACTCTTCATGTCTTAAAAAAGAACAGTTGAGATTCGACAGTTTGTTTACTGTCAAGATATATTTTTTGTAATTTGTACGATTTTGCTTCAGCATAAAGTGTTGTATGTTTAACGCTGTGCAATTAATTTAAAGAAGAACATAAAACTCTAACAGGTTGCCATGGTGAAACATAACATTTCATATACGGGGTGTCCAGAAAGTAAAAAAAACTGAACATGCCACGAGAGTAAACTACCTTTATTTTTAATATTTCTGAAAAGTAATATTTTGCAAAAGTCGTGCAAAAAAGTTACTGAAGTTTTTAAATAAAACAATTCGCACACAAAATTGGTTTAATTTTTATAGAACATAATTTTGGAATAAAATGTATGTATAAGAAAACATTATTCGAACACTCCTCCGCCAAGGTTCACACAAATTTGAAGGCATGCAAGGAATTCATTGTAGATGCGTCTAATCTCTTCTAAAGATGTGGACTGTCAGCATCGCTAATTCATTGATTTAGCTGCTCGATGTTATTGTCCAAAGCAAAGGCCTGCTATACACAATCTGTTTGAGTCGGCTCCACAAGTAAAAGTCCATGATTTACTTTTTTGAAATATTGCCGTCTAGATGGTATTCTAAAATGAGGATTCTCGCTACTCCAATATCGCAAATGTTGTGAAGCAACAATGCCATTTGTAGAAAAAGTGGATTCGTCCGAAAACATAATCTGTTGATGGAAATTTCGTTCCATACCTCCGATCCACAGACAAAAATCGAGACGTTTCGCTTCATCGCCTTCCAGTTAAGTGTGGATTTTGTTTCAAAATTTTTTATATGTGTGATGTCATTCACTGACTGTAGAACTAGCACAGTAGCGGTATCTTCATCATCATAGTTTTTCTTTTGCTTAGGTGTTTTCGCCAGTGACCCGGTTCTCAAACGTTTGTGAACTACTTTATGTAAACACGACCGCACCACATGCACACCTGGGTATTTTTCATTAAAATCTTGAATTTCTTAGCGTTAACTGTTATCATCCTTACCGTAGCACTGTATTAGATATATTTTTTGCTTTAAAGTCAGCATTTATCCGATAATTAATTACTGTTGGGGGTTTCTAACGAAGTACAGTGATACAAGTGAAGAATAAAATTGCATTTTATTCACAACCTTCTATCTGAAATGAAAATTTTTTCCTATTTTTCACCCTAACCGCGGACGTAAATATTTGTAAATAATCAAAGTAGGCCAATTTTTCCACAAATTGGAATTCTATTGAATCTTTTAATTTGGAACAACTTTTCCTAGTGACACTTTCAGAAATATTAAAAAATAAAAGTAGTTTACTCTCGTGACACTTTCAGATTTTTTAAAATTTTTATCAAGTGTGCTCTTTTTCCGTAAAATGTAAAATAAAAAAGTTTTTCCTCTTATTCACCCTAACCGCGGACATACTATAATATGTGATTTATTTATGATATGACAGAATTGAAGCGGTTTCAATGTGAACTCTTGCTTGTTGAGTACACACTTTGGCCAGGTACTATGTCCTGGTTAAATAACTGCAATAGGCAAAGGTGCGTGTTTACTCGCTTACACGGTGGATTTTGGTAATCTGCCTGTTGCGTGGTCCGGTTTAGTGGCACTCCGTGCCGGTTGGCGACGTCTATTTCCTAGCTGTTGTGGCTGTTTGGGTGAAGATAAAAGTCTGAAATTAGACACTGTTAATATATTTTTTTTCGGTATTTTTGAAAGGTAGTCAAGATTTATTTCCTCATACTCGTCCCTCGTCCATGACAGAGAAAGGTTAGGCATGGGTCGGTGTCATTGTTCGATGGAACGGAGATATTTCTTGTCCTGGCGGCTCGACGGTCGAACTTTGGAAACATCGGTGATTTTCTGCACAGCGTTTGTTAGCGTGTCTGTAGACATTGATATGGAGGTCTCTGGATTTCATGTTAATGCGGAGCTTCACGCGAAATTTTCGAAACATCCGCAATTCTGTAAATTTGTACGACACCACAAAGAGACTAAAAAATGTGTTGCACGTACTATGAAAGTATGACCAGTATCACCCCTATGATAACAAATGCAAAGTTTTAAGTGGTGGTATTGCAGGAAACAACTGGGTATTCTATGGGCTATATGCCGTGACTAGTATACTAGTGAGGGCTAAGTCCGAGACCGGTATAGGTCTGGTGTGTTCGGGCGACAAATGATTCTAGTTGTATTTAATGTTATTACTGGTGTAATACAATGGTAGTTGGGGTATACAGTAGTTGTTTCCCGCAATATCACCAATTGTGATTATTTTTTTCCTTCTTGCATCACATGGTTTAATATAACAAGATAGAGATAGAGTTATTAAAAATTACTTTCAAGTTTGTAAAACATCTGTATTTATAAAGGATCTATTTAGGTATGTATTCTTTTCTTTTTAAAATAGCAAACACAGCATATTAAATTTGGACTAATTTCAAGTAATAATTTGCTCTTTGGCAGATACTACATAAAAATTAAAGAGGAAATTTAAAGATTTTAATGTGATAAAGAACCGGTCTTTCCTTGCAACGTATCTTTAGTTTAGAAAAAGTGCTCTGGTTTCTACACTAGAGGAGATGGTATAATTATGGGCTAGGCTTGGAATATGGGCTACAGTGTTATTTCCGATACACCTGTAGACATCTATTGGTAAACGTGTTAGTTACATGTGCTTTAGTATTCGTAACCGCCTATAGGTGACTGGATTCTTCTTTGCATAAGCGTAGTTTTGTTTCTGTGTGATTCAGTATCTGCGATGTTTATAAATTTGGCAGTGTTGGAGATTTACTGTTGAAACTAAATGGCTTTTGCGAGTAAATTGGATTTTTAACGATCAAGATACAGCAAAAGGTTCGTACTTTTAGATTTTTTTTTAAATTTGCACAGATATAAGATATAAAATATTTATGAAGTTATAAAGTTTTTATAGGTTATTTCTAATATGGGCCATTATTATGTTTTCAATATGGGCTAGCCCATATTTGTTGCAATATTTAAAAATGGTGCGCTTTGTTTTAGAATGCCGCGCAAAAAACTTATGGTAACTTCCAATGTGAGCACCAAGAAACGAAAGACGTGGGATACAGAGGATATGAAAAGGGCTGTACAAGCAGTAAGAGAAAAAAGTATGGGTACTCTAAAGGCAGCTAAAACTTTTGGCATTCCAAGGACTACAGTGCCAAAATGGATTATCTTAGCGTGGAGCAGGTTGTTCAGATTAAACTGGGGCGAGGTACAGTTTTGAATTCTGAACTTGAAGAGACATTGGTTCGCTATGTCCTTGAAATGGAAGCCAAGTTTTTTGGCTTAACCCGCAAAGACATTAAACGTATGCCATTTACCTTGGCAGAAAGAAACGGCATAAAGCATCCATTTGGAAACACAAAAGCAGCAGGTAGGGGCTGGCTAGATCTATTTTTACAAAGGCATAAAAATACCTTGTCAATTAGAAAACCTACTGAGACATCTTTGGCTCGCGCCAACTGGTTTAACAAAGAGAGTGTTGACTTTTTCACACTTTTGCAAGCAGAGTACGAAAAACACAACTTTCCAGCTAATCGCGTGTTTAATGTGGATGAGACTGGCCTTACTGTGGTACAAAATAAGGTCGCTGATGTAGTCGGTCGTAAGGGTAAAAGACAAATTGTCTCTTTAACCTCCATGGAGAGAGGCTTTTTAATCACTTTGATAGCCTGCATGAGTGCAGGGAGAGACTTCGTACCACCGATGCTCATTTTTCCTAGGAAAAATATGAATATTCATCTAATGAAAGGCACCCCTCCAGGATCTATAATAAGCAGTTCACCCTAGTGGGTGGGTTCAGGCCACCTCATTCGCCCAGTGGTTCAGGTATTTCATCGACACGGTAAAACCGTCTGCATCTTCGCCTGTTCTTCTAGTTTTAGATGGACATTACAGTCATACGCGAAATTTAGACGTCGTTAATATGGCGAGAGAAAATCATGTTGTGATAATCTCATTACCCTCTCATTCGACCCACAAACTACAACCCCTTGACAAAACTTTCATGGGTGCCTTAAAGGCTTACTACAGTGAGGAGATTAGACAATGGATTCGTCACAATCATCGTCCTTTATCGCAATATGATATTGGCGAACTTCTTGGAAAGGCCTATCTCAAAACTCAAACCGGCGAAGTTGCAGTAAATGGATTCCGCGCTACTGGAATTTACTCGCTGAATAAAAATATCTTTTCAGTAGCGGACTTTCTTGCTGCTGAAATTGAAGCAGAAAAAGAACACTGCACCGCTGAAAGTGACTTTACTGACGCCACGAATGATATTTCCAGTTTTGTTTCAGAGAGAACTGCAGCATTAACAAGCAGTCCAAGCACATCTCAATCAGATATAGAGCCACCTAGTCAAGACCACATTCAACCTGAACCATCTGGAATGCAAAGAAAAATGTTCTCTCCCTTTGACATCTCACCAGTTCCGATATCTATAAAGAAAACAACAAATAGGGGTAGGAAGGCATCACAAGCAACGGTAATTACTTCGTCCCCTTACAAAGACGAATTATTGTTGAGCACTGCCAATAAAACCACACAAAATATTAAACCAGTTACAAGAAAGGTTTTTCCTCAATCAACAGAAAAGATCTCGTTGTACAAAACATCGAAGAACAATAGAAAGCGGCAATCAAAGGAAGATTTTAAAAGTGAAGATGACGAAACGCAGTTTATGCCAGCCGATGAAGACTTCGATATTGATGATATGCCTGGACAAAAGAAGCCAGATGATTTAGAAGCACAATGCATATTTTGTGAAGGCAGATTTTCTGAAGACCGCAAAGGTGAACTCTGGGTTCAATGTTTAATGTGTAATTTGTGGTGTCATGTCGACTGCGCAGGCGCTGATAGAGACGACTATGTCTGTGACTTTTATCGGATTGAATAATATTGTGTTATTTTGGTTAAGTGTTGTGTTTTTTTAAATGTTGCACTTGAATAAAACGCTTGAATTAATATTTGTAGGTATTTTCTGTAGTAGCCCATATTTGTAACACTTTCTCATTGATTGCTATGATGTTATTTTTATTCAAACAAAAAAAAATAAAAAAGACTTCCGTGAAAATTCAAATAACTGTCAGTATAACGTTTGTTAGGTTCTACTTGTTCGGCAAAAAAATTAAAAACCTTGTTATACACCAAAAATATGTCAGATATGTCAAATAAACCAAATGGTAGCCCATATTTGTACCCTCTCCTCTACTACTTCATTTTTCAAGATTTCTATTTAAAAATCCGAGTAGCAAAATACTGCCATTCATCATATTATGTACCTATAATGTATTAATGTATATATTTCAGCAGTTTTAAGAATAAATCTATAGGAGAGCTTTTTCCTTGTTCGTTTTTCATTCTAATAATTCCCGTGATTCAACACTTAAGTCCGTTCATCATTATATCGGTACATTTAAATTTAAAAAAGCATGTGAAACTAATTATAGACATGTACACCATCACGTTTTACATGGAATTCACTTTATTTTAGGATCTGACCATACGGCTATGAGCGAAGTTGGCAGTTAGCTGTTATGTTGGATCGGTTGCATTTAAATTCTCCACGATAAGAATCGCATTCTGACCATTTCAAATCGATTCAAATCAATGGAAGCGCTGATCGCGATGGGCGCCTTACACCGTCCGACAAACACAAGTTGGTTGTAAAGTAGCGTCAGCGCGAGGCGTCCCGATGCCAAATCTAAAATTAAAAGTTGGTCTCGAGGAAGGGGCAGATCGCACGTAGGTTTGGGTCATCAATGTCTAGATTTTTCAGTTTTTAGTGATACCAAGACGATACCACGTCGCGCAATTTTTACCACGAAAAATTACGGTAAATGTTTCTTGTGGGTTTTTCTTTTTCTAAACGCTATGTCCCTTTATGCATGTGCTATAATGAGTGGTGTTTTAGTTTGGTTTTAGTAGCTTAAGGAATGTTTGGATGATGCAAAGTATGGTGAGCCGTATCAAGTGCTTGTGGATTTGAAATATTTTTCTTGTGTTTGATGACATATATTCAAAATTGCTAGAATCAAGCTCCTGTTTCAGTCCAAATTTGAACATATTCAAAATATTTAAAGGAGTAGAAGTTTTTACTAATACACCTTAAAACAATGTGCAACAATAACAGAAGTGGTCTTGCCGTATAGTTTTTCATTAACTTTTAATAGACAATGTATTTATCATAAATAAATGACCAACTATTTTTGAAATTATGTAGTATTCATGAATGGCATTAATTTGTCATGTAAGTTGAATAGGTTTTCGTTATATTATCTAGAAAATTAGTTGGCTGCGAGTAATATTGCAAAATGAGTTTGGCAATAATACTTTCGGTGCTGTATATTGGTCAACATGAAATATCGGCTTGACGTTGTAGCTTAGTTTATATTCGATATAGTTTATTGGACCCTGTTCTCGTAAAATATTATGTAATCGGTTTTCTAGAAGGTTTCAGTTTTTTTTATTTCAGAAAAGTTTCTTCAAAAAATTTTTGTGTTTGACTTTTTTTGACTTGAATATTTTTCAGCTGAAAATATAATCAGTTTTTTTATATGATATGAGGGCTGGACGCATCTGGACATATTTTAAAATAACAGTAACAGAATTTCAAAAGATCCAATCATTTTAAAATGGCGACGATCCAAAATTTTATTTTAAAAATGAATAGCTGGAGTTTGGTAATTTTTATCGATCTCTATAAATCATACTAGGTCGTTACTTAATTTTTATTTTTTAGTCTAATAAGATTTAAATATATTTTTGACTAAACAATAATAGAGTGGTGGATAATAAGGCGCTATCACGTCTCTGTATAATTTGTGCTTGATTTATACTTAATATTGTATAGTATTGCTTTATTATTTGATCTATATAACGCTTTTTCTTGTGCTGTTTGAGAAATTCCAGTTTCCATTTTCTTGAAGTTATATTTATTTATTATTTTTTTATTTATTTATTTATTTAAAATTACAACTGCTCACGGGAAAATCCCAGTTACAGAGCAGGGGACAAAAGATATAGTAAGCAATTACAAAATGCAGTAGAAAAAACATAAACACTTGAAAATATACAGAAAATACAACAATACTTATATGACAAACAATAAAACATATATTTAAACAAAATTGCCCTAAAAATAATTTCTTAATACTAGGTAACGTCGCGTCGTATGGATAATATCAATGTTGTCCTGCAAATTAGCAAAATTTCGACACAATATAAAGAAAAATATTACAATACATTAGTTCCAGCCGTTCTCAAATAAAATGTCTCAATAATGCGAGTGGTAGCCCTAGGGACATTGAAATTAGTTTACATAGTAACTTTTAACAATTAGGGCTTCCCGATACGATATGATACCGATATTTTTGTAAATTATCGATATCATATTGAATCATGATTGAATTTATATATTATTTTTGTAATATAATAGTATCAATATTGATTTCAATACGATATCAATACGATATTCAATATTTATTGATATAAAATAGTTGAAATTTATCTTTTTACTAGAAAAATTGCACTAAATTTGAATTTTTTAAGTAAAAAATATTAAAATTCGAAAGTATAACATTTATATTAATTTATTTACTTAATTTGAATGAACATACAAGCTAAGATATAATATGAAAATAGTAAAAATATCTATAAAATATTTTATGGAGACAAGAACAAAAAACTTAAGTGTTAAAAGATTAAATTGAATAAAAAAATTAATTTTACACTACAAGGAACTTCATCATTAAAGAACACCTATTTTTAGTTATAACTAAACCTGTTTCTGAGAATAGTCTCTCTACAGGCACCGAAGTTGCAGGCAAACACAGAATATCTCGTGCCATCCGCGATAATATTGGATACTCGTGATTGAAATTTCTTCACCATACTCGGAGAGTCCAAATATTGAATTATCTCTTTTTCCCACGTCAAAGAAACTTCTGGTTTTACAAATAGTATATTAAAATCCATTTCATCATTATCTTCAACGCGCTTTTGCTTTTTTCGTGAAGACTCGACGAGAATTTGTTTACAAATACCTAGGTATTTTCTTTTTTATAGATATTGTTTTATATATTCATTTCGTGCGATTCGCGCTTTTGTCGAGATCAATACTATTCGATATTATTGACAACACATTATTGACGATACAATGATAATTGTCGTCAATATTTTAAAAAAAGAATATTGTGTCGATATCGTATCGAAAATGGATACGATATCGATACGATATCGATATTTTTATCGAATATCGGGAAGCCCTATTAACAATCAATATTAGCACCAACCAAATTAAAAAGGAAACTAACACTATGCATGTTACGCTGAGTTATTAAAGATTTGTAACCATACTTTTCTAGAAGTGCTGCGAATAACCGATAGGAGGATATATTTTAGTTTCCTTATAATGCAAAAATTTAAAAAATCTTCGTTGCGTTTTCTCCAAAAGATCAATGTGGTTTGCATAATTAGGGGCCCAAATAATAGAACAATACTCCAGCCTTGATCTGACGGAACAATTGTACATCTTTATGGTGTCCACATTAGAGAATTCACGAGAATTACGAATTACAAAACCTAAACTTTAATTAGCTTCAGAAATTATGCTATTTATGTGAAAGGCGAAATTCAACACTTGGTCAAAATAAACCCCTAAATCCTTAATAAAATTAGGTTTATAAAGAAGTCCGTTATTTATCGTATTATTATTTATTTCATGTACTTACCAGTGCGAAGAAATATAAATGACATTACAGTAAAGTTAAAATTGGAAACAATTGAAT